GCGCCAATGATCAAAGCCTGGCCAAGACCGACCCAGCCCGCGGTATGTGCTTATTCTCCTTATATATCTCTGCCAATATTTTGTACCCTATAGCGGCCAATAATGCAGACAATTATAACGTAAGGTTTTCGCTTTAGAGTCGCTATACCTCCTAATTCTCGCCCAGTGCTTCGTTGCTCAGATCTATGCGGATACACAATGTCAACACTAACGTTTCGCAATATTTCCTTTTATTTCTTGAGTAGTCGGGAGATGTATATTTCGGGCAGTGAATAGAAATTGTGACCCAATTGAGTCTTTTGGAAGTGGCTGTGCACCTCTCTCTCAGCTCAGAACGCCATCTACCTCTCTCCATCCAGTTACTATCGACACTTTAAAGAATTCCTCATAATATAAATCGTCACAAAGATGTCTGAAACGCCAGTCGCTGAAGCCGTTCCCGCCGATCAACGCACCGGGTGGGGAGCGTTTCTGAAATCGTACGTCACACACAACCAGCTATTGCCCACAACCGCTCTTTGTGGGATCAGATTCCATCAAAACATTGCTAACGATGAGGATCAAGGCTCGCGTCCTTCTCTGGAGATCTCTCGAGCATGACCGCCCGTCGGTATCGGTTTCATAGGTTGCGTGCGATTCGAGAACTGACCCGTAATTGTGGTTCACAGCTCCCTTCATCTTGAGCCCTGTGTCTCTGACAGGTATGGAATTACGCGCGTCATGACGTCCCGCGATGGCGCCCGCCAATCAATGTGCTGACCGGCTCGCAGAGTTCCCAGCTTATTGGTTGGAGCGCCCAGAGCTCTTTGCTGAGATACAAGAAGGTGTGGATGCTGAGGATCGCGCTCTTCGCGTGTTGAAATGGTTTATTGTGCGTGTTGTCTCGACACGCCCCCGCGCTGATCAGTTATTTATGGTTCAAATAGGCTACACTCAAGGGTCAATACACGTCTAGGAACGAGAAGATGGGTTCGGAGAAGAAGCCCCTCAACCCGGTTCTTGGAGAGCTCTTTTATGGATCGTGGCCTGACAAAAATGGTCGAGGCGAGACGAAGCTGCTGGTCGAGCAAGTTTCGCACCATCCACCAATCACGGCTTACTACATCACGAATAAGTCAAAGAACTTGACTCTCCAAGGTCATAATGCGCAAAAGACGTCGTTCTCAACAGGTGCTATCATTGTCAAGCAGGTCGGACACGCTGTCTTGACCTACGAACCCCCAGGCAGGCCTGTCGAGAAATACCTCATCACACTTCCGAAGCTCAGGATCGATGGGCTGTGGTATGGTGCTCCATACATCGAGCTCACGGATAATGGATACATCCAGTCGTCTACTGGTTATCTCGCTTCGATTGAGTACAAAGGCAAGGGGTATTTCTCCGGCAGAGCGCATTCAATCAAGGCATCTTTCGGTCTTGCCGCAAACCCTCAAGCGCCTTCTGTTGTCGTTGAAGGACAGTGGGACACTATCACGAAGGTCACATCGGTTAGCGGTTGCAAGCACGTCAAATCGGGCTCCGTATTCACCGACGTGACCACACCCAAAGAAGAGGTTACAGTAATTCCCACAAGTGAACAAGGAGAGTGGGAGAGCCGAAAGCTTTGGGAACAGGTCGCTAACGGCATCAAATCTGGTGACTTTACAAAGGCTAGTCAGGAAAAAACCAAAATTGAAGTAAGCGCTGCATTTTATATATTGATCGTATTCTAAACTACTTTTAATAGAACGAACAAAGGCAAAGAAGACGCGATGAGCAAGCAGCTGGGACTCCTTGGCAATTGAAGCACTTTGTACACGTGGAGGCGGACCCTGACTGTTAGTAACTCATGACCAAGCAGGTAGATGTGACTCACCGTTACTTCAGACGTCGCTTTGGCCGCAATGTTTGAGGGAGTAGGAGTCCTGCCCACCGAGGATGCGTACATTTATCAACCAACTTCGGAAGCAGCATGAGGTACTATCCAATTTGTATCTGTTTAGAGATTAATGGGAGTAGTCAATGGACTCTTTTTGCGGCTATCTGCTGGGATTAGTAAGGAATGAAGATCCGGCCGTGATAATAGAATGATGTTGGCATTGATTGAGTCGCATAGAATGACCGTGAGCTACCTGTAGACACGCGTCCCTTGAGTTCTCTGGGCACAGTCTCAGGGTGAAGAGGACAACCAAAAAGACGCGGTAAGCGGAGTTTAAAGCCTAAATTTATTCCTTGGACGCTACCTCTGTTGCCCATATATTGCGTGTTTTTGAAGGGTTTTAAGCATATATTATGAACGCGGTTACCTGTTGGGCTGCCACTCCAAAGATGGATATGGATGACCTTCTAGCTCAACTTCGAACCGGCCGCACCAGCAATCATTTCAGCGTCAGTGCTACCATGGCTGGGCGACTCTGGCTGGTGGACTTCTGGTAACCTCAGTTGTAGCTCTAGAACCTGCCGAATAGCGTGTGCTGAGTTATTTTGCCCGTTAGGCTACAGGTGACTGAATCCTGATACGTGTTCGGGGTCAATTAAGAAGTGCTACGAATAGCAGATAGCCTGATAAACGCCACCTTTCTTTTGGAGTTTCTTTTGGCGCAATTGTATATGAATGGCCGAAGCATTGCAGTGTCATTGTCTTCTGACAATGGCAAGCAAACAATTGGCCAGCCTGGGCCTCGCAACAGGACTGGAGCAGA